GAGGGAATTATGAGAACAGTAAGCGAAACCATGCTTGTCTCTAAATATTGTATTAACCTAAACAGAAGCCATGCCCCTACATATGATTATTACAAACAAACAAAACAAACTCCGTGTCCTGTAGTCCGCAAGCGAACTATACCGACTGAGTGACCGCCGCTTGTTGGCGAAGTTAGTGCCAACTTTTGCGGATAGAGGGTGTCTCGTGGTAAGCATAACGAATCCCCACGGCCGATAATCTCGGTATTCTAGACCGGATCAGCTATTTCCTTGAAATAGCTCCTCAGTTATTCTCACGAGGTTGAGTGGACCCCATTCCAGACCCACTACTTCTCAGAAAATGTGGTAGCGCCGGGAATCAAACCCGGGACCTCTGGATCTGTAGGCAGGAACTCTGACCGCTAGACCATAGTGGCGGTCCCGTATGATTATTACTGTACTTAAATGGTCGGCATATTTCATTACTGTATTACAGTGTAGATAAATGTAGAATTTAATGTGAAATTAATAGTCACAGTACGAGCACAACATTCGCATTGAGGAAGTCAAGAAAAATATAAAAACTTCAGGAAACCAATCATATTGGACCGAATTCATAATTTCTCAGATATGTCTGCGCCACCATTATACGTATCAAGATCTGTGTAACTACTGAGTAACGAAACAAAGTGTCAGAAGTGTTGTTATCTTCAAAGTGTACATTTCTGTGGATCTGAATGTAAATAAAGGGGCACATCAGAGGAACATTTAAGGGAATAAAGTGCCACGTTAAGACATAGACAAGAGGTATGAATTTTATTTTTTTAATTACGTGTAGTAGCAATTATTTCACCATAGCGATCATCTGTGAACATGTCAAATGTGCTGCTTCCTGTTAAATGTGCAACCGTTCATTACAATTAGACTTATATAATGAATGTCAATTAGGAATAATTAGTTTTTAAAATATAACATAATTACAATTTATGTAGAACGCCACATAAGCCCATTCTTGCTGAGGGACAGGATACTGCTCACTGTATCAAACACCGTGTCCTGCAGTCCGCAAGCGAACTATACCGACCAAGCAACCGCCGCTTGTCGGCGAAGTTAGTGCTAACTTTAGCGGATAGAGGATGTCGCGTGGTCAGCGCAACGGATCCCCACGGCCGTTAATCCCGGTTTTCTAGACCGGAGCTCACGTGTTATTTTTCGTAATTTTTAATTGTTAGAGGCCCTAGCAAGCCTTTTAGTAACCTAAGATATTCAGCGGCTGGAGCTAGCTATAAACTAAGAGTGCAAGTTGCAACCGACGCAAATTGATAACGTATCTAGAACGATTAAAGAATGCTGGAATTGTAAAGGATTAAATTCACCTAATAATCAAATTTTACTGGAGGAAATATAATTCTGTTAATCCTTTCAGTTCTAACTGGACCAATAATATAAGCCGTGGGAGTTCTACGTTCAAAAATTTACCGGCTGCAGAATTTCGCCTCGTATTATCGAAAGATCTCCGTTGCTGACTTATGCTGTAGGGACGAGAAATCCGCCTCTCTCTGTATAATCTTCTAGCAGTAAATTACTTTAATTTGTGTAACTTCGACTTGTAACATAATGGCGTTTCATTGATGTCCAACTAAATATAAACTAATTGATAAAAAAATACGAAATATTATTAAAGTGAAGGCAGTACTTGTGTTAACCAAGTTCAACTATTGTGTTCTAAGGGCGTGTGAATAAATGAAACTACGTGTAAAAGTCCTATGGGTGAGATATTACTTTACGGTCTCCCGTCTTGTTTGTGCGAGGCCTGATATCACATTGAGACAATCCATCTCTACTATACTGAGCAGTCAACCACCCCAACATCTACTTTCACCTGGAGACACTACCCTTATCGTACGCGGCTCCTCCAGCTTACCGGAGCCCAACCTTCAACACTACCTCCCTAAATCCATGATTGCAACTATTATCAATAGGGAAAAAGTGTGAAGCAGATCAAAGGTGTCTTCTGTGGTAAGCAACGAGTGATTACCTCAAAGTGATTCTGTTACAGTGTCCCCCCCCCCACTAACGCGTGGGCCCTAGAAGAGAGGTATAACCAACATAGTTCAGCAGTTCCGCTATAAAAGTGTTTCCTGACACGTGACTGACCGCCTCTGTGGTCTAGTGGTCAGATTTCCTGGCTATAGATCCAGAGGCTCCGGGTTCAATCCCCGGCGCTACCAGGTTTCCTGAGTAGTAGGTCTGAAACGAGGTCCACTCAGCCTCGTGAGGATAATTGATGAGCTATTTCAAGGAAACAGGGGCTCCGGTCTAGAAAACCGAAATTAACGGCCGTAGGGATCCGTTGCGCTGACCACGCGACACCCTCTATCCGCTAAAGTTGGCACTAACTTCGCCGACAAACGGAGGTCGCTCGGTCGGTATAGTTCGCTTGCGGACTAAAACCACAGAGTTTTGTTTTTCGTTTGTTTTGACACGTAACTACGTGTCAAATCGGACCTCAAGCGGTGAGGGAACGGTTACAAATTAAGTCACGACGACGTATCCAATCCTGGGTACTCGGTAAAAGAGTCGAGGTTCACACGACTGAAAAGCGGGCGCCGTTCAAAACTCGGAGCCATGTAACTATGGAGAGGAATGTAACGCACTGAAGTCGTCTAGCGACCTCATTTCGTTTCAGGGCGTAGATATATGACGTTATCACTCATGTATCAGTTGCCATCCACGTTTTGAAAAATAGTTCCGCCGAGAAAGATGAGGCAGGAGGTGTTTTCCACTTCCCTCAAGACATTGCTCGGCTATAAATTAAAATCCCAATCTTAGTGACATAAAGGGGGGCATCGACATTCGTGCGATTCCTCTTTCTGAAGAAATACGATCCACTTCGGACTCCCCCCTTCCCAAAATGACTTTATTATACAGCATACTGAAACCTGCTGACAGTCTGAAGAGTATAGGTTTCGTAATGCTAACATGGCAAATTTATTAGCACTTCTTTGACGCCCACTGTAGGCACGACGGTTGTGCGTGGTGCTGTGCCGAGTTCGAATCCAGCAAAGAACCCAGATGCGTATGCATTTTCACGGCGGTTCTTATTCATTTAAGTCTTAGTATAAATATCGTATTGTACTCGTGCCGTAAGAATTTCCGACCTTTCTGATAAACTCGCAGCTTCCTTCAGGGTTGGAGTCTGACCTGAAAGACTGAGCAAGTTCCAGAGACACACCGGTAAGTTCTATCACTTCAACATGATGCGACTCCCAACAAGACCTTAATGAATCTAACCGGTGTTGACAAGTTACTTGGGGGTTCTCCCACCATGATAAACATATGAAGACAATATGACTTGGCCGAAACAGACAAACGGGCCTGTTTCTTGAATGTAAGGCGATCTCTTTGACTGGTTAGAACAGAAATTCAGCGTAACAAGGCATCCCTTACGTATGCCGGCTTTGCTCAAGATAACGTAATTTTTGTAAGACGTAACTTTCATCTTTTCACTGTACACGGTATAAAGCATTTTATTAAGATCTGCAACACGGAACCTTGTGGTCGAGTGGGTACAATCCTGCTTCATATTCGGGTGGTCTAGCGCTCAAATACTGTCTGTCCGGAAAACTGTCCATCTTGACTGAGACTTCGTAATTTTTCCCGCTTCTTCCTGGAAAATATCAGGCTAGCTTTCCTCTGTGGTCTATTGGTCAGAGTTCCTGGCTACAGATCCAGAGGTTCCGGGTTCGATTCCCGGCGCCACCAGATTTTCTGAGAACGGGGTCCACTCAGCCTCGTGAGGATAACTGAGGGGCTATGTGAACTGAAAAGTAACGACTCCGGTCTAGAATACCGAGATTAGCGGCCGTGGGTGTCCGATGTGCTGACCACGCGACACCCTCTATCCACTAAAGTTGGCACTATCTTCGCCGACAAGCGGCGGTCGCTCAGTCGGTACAGTTCGCTTGCGGACTCAAGCCACGGAGTTTTTTTTTCGTTTGAACGTTTGCATAGAAAATCCTATTAACACAAGTAGTACTTCCTGGGAAGTTACTGTACTGAGTCCAAATATCATTTTCTTAAATGCGAAATGATATCAGAAGTCTTTGATGAAATGAATAGATGAAGACTCTGTTGAACCTAAACACTAAGTATTATAAATGGAGGAGAGCAGTCAATTTCTTGCTCCGTCCGCCTTTACTCTCGCGGATAATGGCTCCCCTTTCCCACTTGGCCAAAGCTCAACTGTCTGTACAGACATACTGAACGCGGATACAATAAAATTATGGTAGATAAACCCGAAATATTGACACAGTAGGCTGAAGTCAAAGCATATTTTATACATCACATCTTGCATGAGGGAATAAAAAAAAACACACGCACAGAATTCCTCTGTCTCTTCCAGCAATAAACTTGACACTTTGAAGATGCAGACTTCCCAATTAGGACCACAAGTAGGACGGTATGTGGACAGAAATTGTGAATTAATTACATATTTCAATAGCCAATGTTTCAAAGAAACACTAAATCTCCATATTCATGAGCTGTAGGCAGCAGTTTTGTGTGTGTGTGTGTGTGTGTGTGTGTGCGTGTGTGTGTGTGTGTGGGGGGGGGGGGGATGGCAACCATTTACTAGACTACATTGTGTCACATCCCTAATAACAGAACATGAATATTCATTGCCATGAAAACCTCCAAGTCTCTATTTTTATTGCTAGTCCCAAGTGATTTTGTAAGAAAAACTGCTGAAAAAATAATGTCAGTTTTCACATACACATAAAAGTATACTGATAAACTTCAGCCAGTTTGGTAATGTGGGTGCTTCCTCGGTCATTTGGTGACGTACGCCACTACATCAGTTGGAAGTAACTAGATTCTATTTCCAACATACTTCCGGCATTCATACACCAGTGGGATATTCAAATATGCTCACAAAGGACTTTTCTTCTGTAGGGTTGTCTATACAGTGTATGACGTACTCTGTTTTGTAGAGCAGATGGACTATATCATATCAAACTTACCATTTTCTGGATTGGAGCTTGTGTCATCAGATTCAGAGGAAGTCTCCAATTCCCGACCTGGAATACGGAACTTAAAAAAGTTAATTGAAATGATAATCCACATGACAGTAGCACGTAGCGGATATGTCTTTTAAAATTGGGAATTACGAAAAATATTTACTTTACATTTAAATGCGTGGGCCAGCTCACAAATGAATATTTCAATCACACAGATTTGATACATGGCATGTCCCACAATGGTTTCCAACTGTTAACAGAAGAATATGAAGCATGCGGACTGACGTGAACATTTAGAGAAGCAGAATATCCATTCAAATTCTGACAGGAATTGTGTGATGAAGTCATACCTACAGACCATAACGTGGGTGTCATGTCAACCAAACATGACAGGATTCAGCCTAATCTCAGAACAGTTAATAAGTTTGTACGGTTTGGTATGGAGATAATACAGACTTAAATGACGACTTGGAATGCCCTGTATGGCACTGATTGGTATGATGTTAACAACACCAACAATAACAATCCATCGCCCCTTCCCCCCACAGGAAGAGTCCTGGTACTTATTTCTGTTAGAGGCTGAGTCGGCCCAGGGCCATAGTGCGGCTGGAAGGATCAGGTAAACTGAAAATCTAATGACCATATCGGGAATCGAACCCATGACCTTCCAGCTTGTAGCATAGTGCTTCAACCAATTACACTACCACATACCCCACAAGCTTTTCCATGTCATATGAAAAAGTTGCTTTCTGTGTTCTGGAGATGAGACAGTTGTATGGCTCAAGATTAACTGAATGCTAAAACCAAGGAGTGTAACATCTGTAATTTAAATTACTATTGTTTTTCAAATTTTATCCACGTCACTATTATGATGATCAATGATGATTATTATAAGTACAATGACAATGACTACAGTGATGACTACAACTAGGATGACTACTATGGCTGTAATGACTACTACTACTACTACTACTACTACTACTACTACTACTACTACTACTACTACTACTACTACTACTACTACTGCTGCTGCTGCTGCTGCTATTTTTTTATTGCTAGTGGGGTGGGACTAAGTCCCTTGTACTGCGGCCACTTCTGGCCTATTGTACCAGCCCCAGATGATAGGTGAGGGTGATTATGGAGCAATTGGTGGAATGAAGATTGGTAGGGGAAACCGAAGTACTCGGAGAAAACCTGCCCCAACACCAGTTTGTCCACCACAAATCCCACTTGACCAGACCTGGGATCAAACCTGGGCCGCCGCGGTTCGAAGCCAGCGACTAACCGCTTGAGCTATGGCACGGCCCTTATGATAATAACTACAACCTAATGGCTATGTGCTGTGCATGCTTTCAACAAACAACAACTTACCTTCGAGTACACTGTGGATACGTTTTGATGACATTCCAAGTAATTCATCCAGGCAGTGGGATTTTAATTCATCAATTGTTGAATCCTAGAAGAAGTACAGGCTAAACTACAATGTATACTGAATATGTGACAAATTTAGACCATTTATGCTTCAAAAGGTGCAGTGCAGCATCAAGTATCCAGCCATGGATGAGATATACATTTATGTATCTGGCAACTTGTTACTTGTACAATCTCAGAGTAACATTTCTTAGGTGTTTGCATTCATAAGGATACAGTATTGACATGGAAACGTGATAAAATGAGGTTTATAAACTACAACAATCCATTTACCATGTAAGTCATACCATTAAATTTCTCTACAAACTACCTTGTACTTGTGGGAATGTTTGTGCCCCCACATGAATGAAAAGCAGAAATAATATAAATTTGCAATTATAAAAGACAAGTCTGTGCAATGTGACTATTTCAGTTTTCTCACTTGATGATTCACTAGCCTCACATGTTTTGATCCATTTGTATCATCTTGAGAGGCACCGAACACTTTTTTGAAACCATCACAACAGTTGTCATATCAAATACACATGTAATGTCCAAGTATACAATGTTCCATCTATCAGTCACAGCAGCCTTTCTGGTTATAGAAATATAAAGTTTTTAAAACTTTAAAACAACTTTAAATATTTCTATAACCAGAAAGGCTGCTGTGACTGATAGATGGAACATTGTGTACTTGGACATTACATGTGTATTTGATTGACAATTGTTGTGACAGTGGTTTCAAAAAAGTGCTTGGTGCCTCTGAAGATGATCCAACTGGATCGAAACATGTAAGGTTAGTGGATCATCAAGTGAGAAAACTGAAATAGTCACATTGGACGGACTTGTCTTTTATAATTGTAACTGTTAGTGTGACGGACCAAAATGAAACAAATTAAAAAATATAAATGTGCACTGCTGTCCCCTCAGTCAAGGTGAGATAAGGTTAATTTCATATTTACAATGAAAATATCAATCTCAGTTTCTTGTTTCTTATTAAGTTATGTAAAACTATCAATGAAAATTAAACTTTAGTGGTCTTTCTGAAGCTCTTTCTGCATAGTATAGAAGAAACAACAGTTCCAAATTTCACAGAACACTATATAAGTTGTATTTATTTTTGTAGTGGTCCACCACATTATATGGTTTACAGTCTCTGTGTCTTTGAGGTGTTGTATCTTTGTCCTCACTTCAATTCTTTTGTGCATTTGCCACTTTTCTAATAATTTTTCAAAAACAGAAGACTGGGTGTGTAGCAAAATATTATAAAGGTGCAAGAAATCAATGATATCTAGCCATTTTCTTTTCAAGAACCAACATTTGTGTTCTAGTAAGAGCATAATTTAATAAAGTGGCCTTATGTGACAATGGATAATGTACGGTTTTCCCTTCAGCTTCATTGTACTAAAGGACCACTAGAAAAATCATGAAAAAAAAAAAACAGTGAAACAGTGATGCTGAAAGAACCGGAAAATCTTTGTATGATGGAATTATTTTTCTGTTTTCATTGTCTCTTTCTTCCTCATACATTTTGGGCAGAGAAGGGCTCAGGAGAAGTCACATGAAGGCATCTTTTAATACTGAAGATTTAAATGGCTTCAAGTTGATTCTTCTTGTCAGAAGAAAAGTGAACTTCATAGATCATCACCATCTACATCACATGACAAAACATCTGCACATCCAAAGTCACGACTAAACTGCTACTAACTGTAATCCTATAAAATAGTTCACTGAACAGGTTGGCTTGCACCAGTAATGCTCTTGACTCATGTGTGTGTGATGTGCTTGGTTTGAACCTTTGCCAGGATATCGGTGATTCTGACTTGAGGATTTTGTATTTTTATCAGTCCTTCCAGGCAGATGCTAGGACAGTACCTCATTTAGGCCATTACTGTATCCTTCCAAATCCCTTCCAAACTCTCATTATCCTATCATCCATGCATTCAACACCACATCGTGTATAGTCTAGATACTGAAAGCACTCTTAAATTACCTATAACTATAAATAAATATAAAATGTTTCCTTCATCTTGTGAAGTTACTTAACCATGGAATTTGAGCCACAAAATTTAATTCTGCCTAATATTTTGTGCACATTTATCTCCCATCCATGCTCAGATGACAAGTATTACCTTCAGAATAGGTGGAAGCATTGCTCTCAGTTTATCACCTTTGATAATTGAAAACATCTGATTAATCATTTCTTCCCTGTCATTAATGTAGTAACCAATTGGATGCAATTCTTCACTCAGATCCATATTTCCTTCACCACTGTCTTCTGCATCATTTATTCGATCCTCCTGCAGTAAGAATAAGGTTCAAAATGCCGAATTAAACAATGAAGGGTATGTGAAAATTGCTACTTTATAAAATCTCACACACTATTTATTGGAAGATATGTGAAACCAAAATGAACTTTAAAGACACAGATCTCAATAAATTTGATGTTTCAGAGATTTAACTTACTCTGGGATCAGGGGCAGCCCGCGTATAGGCACTGTGGAACTGCAGCACCCCCAATTTCCACTTGATATTATCAATAACATTTATATAATGAGTCCTTTTTTCTTTAATTCTTTCTTTATACTTGTACAATACAATATATAATCCTTAAGCTTAATGTCAGTAGCCAAATCTTTGTATGGAACTGTGTGCTTCACAGTTCCAGCGGCGAGGTGTTTGTTGACTGTTGTCTGTTGTGCACATGCGCACATAGGAAGCTGCATGTGAGGCTGCAAGGGAGAGAAAGCACTGTCGTTCCCACAGTGCCGACCCTGGCGTGCTGGTGGAAGGTAGTTTTTCTTTACTCCGCGTGTGTTGTGCTTAAAAACCATGTACCATATTCTTGAATGTGAGTTAATTGTAGAATTAGATTATTATCCTGCTTCCAGCTATTCTATTTGATTCATTTTTTCGGTTCTTTTATTTAACAGAAAACTTTAACCATGGCCTTGCATCCCCGAGAAATAAGTTCTGTGGCTCTAAGTGAACTTCAACAGCTTAAGTTTTCACAACTGTCTCTCCATGAGAAAGTTGCAGTTAAGCAAAGAGGTCGTTTAACACCTGATATTCTAATAACTCAGCCAGGCATAAGCAAGAACAAGAAATATATTCGTAGCTTCAATTCTGAATGGTACAAACGGAAAAGTTGGCTTTGCGGCTCTGAAGTAAAAAGTGCACTGTTTTGCTTCCCGTGTTTGCTGTTTGGGGATGATGTTTATATTTCTAAAACCATCTTTTGTCCAAAAAGATGGTTTTAGAAAAATAAACAAAATGAAAGAAAAACTGAGAAGCATGAGGAGTAAAAGAAGCACATTGATAATGTAGTGTCACTGTCACTTTTAGGAACCATAAGTATTAAGGAGAAACTTAGTGAGGCATACAGACTTTCAAGCAATGAGCATAATATAAAGGTTAAAAAGAA